CTGGGTGGGGCCGGCTCTGAGGGGGCCGTGGGGGCTTTAATCCCTCAAGGGAGAGATTTGAAAAGTGGGAGCCCTCTGCCCTGCTTCTGCCGGCCGGCCCTGGCAAGATGTGGGGTGGGAAGAGGTCTGGGGAAGGTAGAATCCCAGCTAAGCCTGCTCTTTGCTTCCCAATTTTGGATGTAGAGTGACTCCAGAGGAAGCAATGGGGCCTGTGACCGGACCGGGCGCCTCTACCTGTATCACTACAACGAGGAGCAGCCGTACATCCCGCTGAGCGAAATCCAGAGGATTGACACGGCTGCCATCCTGGACATCAAATGGTAACGCTGGCCTGTCGAGGCGTGGAGCTCCCAGCAGCCTGGGCTGCCCCTCTGGGGTCCTTTTGACTGTCGGTATGGCAGCAACAGGAATTTTTACTAACTGCTCTGCCCCTGGCTTCTCGCAGGGAAGTATTCTCCAGTTTGCTCCAGTGAGCAAAGGCTGTGCTCGTTTCTGTTGTGCTCTTCTGGTTATTTATGAACAACTGGTCAGCGACTGTGCCCCTCTGTTGTTTAAATCATAACATACAGTAGATTTCCCCTGTCTATACTCGCTTCCAGGCAGGTTTGTGGGAACTTGAGCCTTAGATTTTTCTTAATGGGATTTTTTTGGTCAAGGACCTTCTCCTTGTGCATCCTGGAATAAAAGTTATGACTTTGCTCTCCTCCTTAAATGAAAGAAAGATGGACATCCAAGACTTATTTAACTTCATCTTTTAGGTGCCACATTCCTGTTGCAGAACACCCCATGGTTGGCATTGCAAACTCGAAAGGTGCTGTGGAGTTTTGCCACCTGACTGGGAGCGAGGTAGGTGGCTGTCACGCCTGCTGCTGCTGGTTTTAACCCGTATTTGATACATCTCTGTATTTACTAGCAGTGTGCAGAGACTTGCAGCAAAGCTCTATGGTTTCCATGGCTTCCTTGGTATGCTTAGCTTTTGAAACACTTTTCTCTTTTTGATAATGTTTCTCATAAATTCCACAAATTTGTCCCTGGCACCAGGGAGACTGGCTGAGCTCTACCCACCTGCAGAGTGTGGGAGATGAGTGGCATGAGGGGAGCAAAAGCAAGCACTGGAAACTGTCACTTAAGAATAAGTACGGACTAACTGGTAAACGCAGCCAAAGGTGCAAAGTTGTTAAAAGCAGGGGAAGGGAAGAATTTTGGAGAGGGGTTTCGGTTGGTAGGAGAAAAGAGTTAGCAAGAGAGCCTTTCCCACAGAGTGAAGAAAGCGGGAGCCAGTCTGTAAAGGAATTCAACAGTCAGGTCATCACTTCTCCTGCACTTCATTGCTCATTGAGAGGAAGCAAAGTTTAGGGGGAATTTGGTGCGAGCTGGGTGGCAGAAGGGTGGGATCTGGTGTGTGCATGTGCTTACCCGTCAGCCGGGGCTAAGCAATTGTGGTGTGGGACCATAATGTGCTCGTCAGTCTCTGGAAAACACCTGCCGTAGGAGTGCAGTACAAGTGTTGTAATCTACCTGCTGTCTTCCCAGTCTTAACTCATTCCTTTTCTTTCCAGTAGAAGAACAGCTGCATGTTGGAGCCGTGCTTCAGCGTTGACCTTGGTGCACAGTGTCTGGCCTTGTCTTTAGACTGGTCCACAGGACGAGAGCAATGGTGAGGATGGGAGAGAACGGCTGGTACTGGAGGCCGGTGTGTGCGCGGCAGCTTTTGGGTATCAGTGGAGGACTTTGACGAATGACCCTTTGGTGGCTTTTTTGTGAAGTGGGTTAAGGCTTGGTCCCAGATGCCTCCCTGCACCTTTCCTGGAAGTTACTGTTTCCAGAGCAAGAGTAACAAAGGAGCAACTACACATCCTGTGGCCACTGTAACAAGAGCAGAGACCAAACCAACAACAAATGTGAGGTTGGGCTATGGTGAATGGCGGCAGGTGAGCCAGAGACACGTCTTCTGTTGCCTTTGTTAAAAGGAGAGATCAGAATGGGATGCAGCTACATTCACTGGATCCAACCCTGCTTTTAGAGCGGCTGAAATTCTAGTGTGAAGCTCTGTGTAAGAACTGCTAATTATAGCACGTGTAGGAAGTTTAAACATGGGTTACTGCGAAACAGGAGAGAATTGGTTTGGAAGTGGCTTCTTCCTCCCTCAAATGCTCATACATCTGATTTCAGAAATGTCGTCACTGCGTGACATAACATGAATTAGCTCTACCTTGAAAGAGATGTGCTGTATGTTCTCTGTAAGCTAAGAGCAAAACAGAGACTGGCGCCTCCGGTGTGAGGCTGGAAACTCGGGGGATCAGGCAGTAGTGTGCTTATTGCTGTAGGGCAGCATTTAGTAGCTTTGGCTAATTAAAGCTGTTTCTGTGCACGCTGTTTAATGAATAAGTAGAATTCCCAGTTAAACTTTCTTCCTTGCATTCCTTCTTCCCCTTGTCTCTGCCCATCAAGATAAATGATTGTTGCTATGATGAAAAGTCCCTTTAAAGCCTGTCACTGTTGTCACTTGAGTGACAAATAACCTTGTCTAGAAGTTGAATGTGCAGCCTTCGCACCCCTGTAGGAAGGGGGTGATCCTGTCTCTCTTGTGTGGAAGTTTGGGAGATTCAGTATGGTTTAGTAACTAGCATACGATACAGAACTGGAAAGAAACCCTGAGTCAGCAAATCAGTACCTACAGTTGCAGGTAACCAAGCAGAAGGTCCCTAGTTTGTGTCAGGGAATGCCAGGAAGTCTGTGCGCGGTGAGCTGCAAAGCTGTTGCCAGGGCTCCAGGAACATCATGTCCAGAAACTGCAACTGTGCTGTGCCACAGGAAGAGAGCAGGAAAGGTCAGGATCAGCCAGCGCTTCAGATGTGTGATAGCAGGGAAATAAAACATTTCTTCATAGTCCCAAAAATGGGAAAAGGCTCTGAGAGGTGCTTGTCAGTCTGACTTGGAGGAAAGAGTCCCTCTTCAATGGAATTTGTTTACTGATGTAATATCCAGCATGTGAGAAGTCAAGTTACACATCTAGGAGAAGGACCCAAGGCTGGTTTTCTTTCCCTGATGTGAATGAGTGGCTTACTCCCCCTGTGAGATCAGGGAATGGGGGTCATCGGTGCAGATGATTTTAAGATGGGGTGAGCTGAAGCTGAAAAGAACTATATAAATGTGTGTATTCCTTCCACTGCGCTACCAGTTTCTATCAATTTTTAGTTGAATCAAACACATACAGTACTTAATGTTATGTTATCTCTCTATACTTTGGCTGCTATTTTTTATTCTAACAGCTTCTTAGGACACAAGTTTCAGTAATTTCTAGTTACTGTTGTCTCTCTATTCTGCTGTAGTGGATGTCCTTTGAAAGTGATCAGCAGTGATTCTGAGGGGAAGCTGAATCTCTTCTCCATCGATGAATCTGCTCCTTCTGTGCATGTCCTGAGCCAGTGGGAAGCTCACAAATTTGAGGCCTGGATCGCTGCTTTTAATTACTGGGACACCGATGTTGTGTATTCAGGTCTGTAAGGACTGGGAATCTCATTTGGGGGTGTTGGGGAGGGGGCATCTTGTGTAGGGATATGAATTCCCTGGGGTTTTGTGTTCCAGGGTTGAGTGTTCTGCTTGCATCACACCTCTTGAGAGAGTTGGGGCCGCTGCTAGGGGTAAAAGTTGCTTTGACTGTGGGAAGTGGTCGGGGTTAGTTAGGAGAAGCTGTGCCTCTTCAACTGGACTTTGGTCGGCGAACAAGATTGTAATCTCTTGCGGTGTACAAAAGACAGCCAGAGTGCTTCTAGAGTCCAGTCTTTTTGTCTTCTAATTTTTTTTTTTTGCTTTGCAAAGTGCGGGTATTTAATGCATGTCTCCTCTGTGGTGACGAGTTCTGTGAGCCTGAAATGATGTTTGGTTTGGCTGTTAAACACTATGAGATCCCAGGGCTGAAAAGCATCAGCTCGGTGTTAACTGCGTTGCCTCAGCAGCCTGCACTGGTCCCCTGGATGGCATTCAGGGTGACAGCGTTCTGTCTGTGTGCAGGAGGAGATGACAGCCTGCTCAAGGGCTGGGACACCAGGCGCAGTCCAGAGACTCCCGTCTTCACCAGCAGGAGGTAAGCCAGCCCGGTTTGCAGCTGGATGCCACAGCTGTCGTGTACGAACGTCCGGTGCTGCCGTGTCCCTTCCCAACCACTGAATTCAGAGACATGCACTCGAGTCCTGTTTCTGCCCCCCTTGGGAAATGGAGATATCTATTAGATTTTTTTCATCAGGACAACATCAGGTTGAAACTGTCTTCTCTGTGTTCTTCAACATAATAAACCAACAGCTCACTTCCACACATGAAGATGCTGGCAGCTTCTTTCTAAAAGAATCATCCTGATACACACTTTTATTTTGGGAAATTTTGTGTGTTAAATTTGAATGCCTTTCTATGGACTTCTTTTTAGAAAATATTTTGTCCCTACTGTTCACTCATTTGAAGTAATCTCTTTTTTTCTGGTGGTGTAACTTCTCTTTTAGAATAGGATTAAAACAATACACACAACATTCCAGTGAAATTTTAGTAATTTAATATGTAAACTTAAAATACACTGGGGATTATTGCTGTGGAAATATTAATGTTGGGAGTAAAGCCTCCTGGGAATGGAGTAGTGGTGCTGAAGTTCTTACAGGCTCTGAACAGCAGTTTATGGTGCAAATACTACTAGAAAATATTTGTGCTGAGGGACAGTGTGAGTGGAAGTTTTTCCCTGGAAAGGCTGCTGGATGTGTAGATGGAACTCTGCCTGTGTATTTCACTGGCCTGAAATTTGAGTTCAACTTATTCTCCTTTCTTTATACACCTTGATGCAGTAATGTGGACCTAAAATCCTTGAAATTCAAGGAAGAATCCCTTCTCAAATGGTACATTGCTGTCTCTTCCCTCTGCGGTGTGTTCTCTCTTGCAGACATTCGATGGGTGTGTGCAGCATTCAGTGCAGTCCCCACCGGGAGAACCTTCTGGCTACTGGCAGGTAAATCCCTTCTAGCTACTCTTCACGAATGTGACCAGCCTCCTCTGTTACTTTGAATGTGCTACTGTGTGATCTCTTCAGAAATTCAGTGCGGTGAAGAGCACGCCATCTCATTTTCTTCCGTACTTGTTGCACTGAGTCAGCTTTGCTGCTCGTCTGCATAGTTATTTGTGATATGTCTCCAGCTACGACGAGCACGTGCTGCTGTGGGACACCAGGAACATGAAGCAGCCGCTGGCAGACACCCACGTTGAAGGTGGAGTTTGGAGGCTGAAGTGGCACCCGACCCGTGATTTTGTGCTGTTAGCAGCCTGCATGCAGAGTGGATTCAAAATCCTCGACTGCCGTGGAAGCATGGGTGAGTGTTCAGTGGAACAGAGATGCTCTTGTGCTGCTCTCCTTTCCTGCCTCCAGGTTAACAGGGGAACTCCGGCTCTGAGCTTGCTGGAAAGATCTCCATGTTGTTCATAGCCCTTATTCCAACTTGAGGTAACTCTTGGAGCTCTCCCAGACCTGTCCTCGCTGCTGGCCTGATGGGTTGTGCAAAGGCACTGTCATTATTCACCTGTAAACCTCTCGTAACTTCTTCTCATGGGAAGGAAGCCTGTTTGTTTTGGTGTGAGGGCATTACTGACCGTTCCAGTTTGTACTCGTCTTAATGGTTCAGAGAGTTCGTCTGAACATCAGGTGGTGCTTTCCTGTCAGCAGAAGTTACTGACCTGCTGGCGAATTGGCAGTTGGCTCGGGAGGGAAGTGCTGTGCAGGCTGGTTGATCTAGAATAACACGAATGAGCCCTCCGTGTGAATCAGGAGGTATTTACGTGATTAAAAGCTGTTTGCATTTACATTACAAATACCAACTTGCATAAAATGGTTGCCTTCCTGGGTTTCTCCAGGCCTTGGGCAGACCCACAGCTTGCAAAGTGAGGGTAACATTTTGGCTGTATAGGGAAGGGAGGAACTCGATGTCCATTTAAATACCAGAGTCAAATGCTGAAAGCTCATGGGAAGAACACATCTGCAATTTTTTAATAACCAGAACCTGGTCTGGCAATGTTACCAGTTGTATTTGTGGCTCAGTGGGGATCACTCTGTGATCTGTCTTGTCTTTCTCGAGCCTTTTTAGGTATTTTGAATAATGATGCAGATTAATGCACGTTAAATCTTCTCCTATCTGCTTACTGAACCAGGGAAACTCAATGCTAATGAGAGAATGAGAGATGGCTGAAAAATTGTCAGGAGAGCCAGAACCTCATTCCTCCTAGAATGCTTAACTCTGTTGTGAAAGCGGCAATAACCAGAGAACTCTTCCTGTCGGACATAGCCAGTGCTTGAGTGGCTTGGGAGCAGTCTGCAACAAACTATTTCCCAACTTGATTTCTGCTCATTTCATAATTTTATTTGTTTTTTAAGCGGAAAACATGGAGGAGTGTATCATCCTGTCATCCTATGTCTTGCACAATTCCTTGGCCTACGGGGCTGACTGGTCAAGGCTCTGTCCGAAGGATTCCTTGACTGCGATGCAGGACTCTGCTGCAGCATGCCAGCCTTCGGAGGAGCTGGTGGGAAGATCAGAGGAAGCTGATGAGAGACTGAATTTGCAGGTCCAAAACCTGAAGATAATTTACGAGTCTCCTACAGCTACTTTTGATGTAATATTGGATGAGGAGAGTGAAGACCCTGCCTTGCTGCCCAAAGCAGAGAGGGGTCCTAAGCTGTCTGGGGATCCTGACCTGGTCAGGGGTCCTGACCGAGGGGCAGATGCCGAGTCAGCCAGCGGTTCCAACTCGGGAGCCAAGAGACCCAACGGAATGGGCCTGGACAGAAGCGGTGATTCAACCAGGTCTCTGGACGGCCCGAAAGAAATGAGCATTGTAGCGACCTGTTCTTTCTATGACAATATCCTCCATGTCTGGAAGTGGGAGATGAGCCTGTGACCCCTTCAGAGACACCAAGTACTACATCTCCATCCGAAAGAACAGTTGAAAGTTTGCATTGGCCAGTCCCAAGGGCAAGTGATAGGAACTGTACTGACAACGACTTCTGAGATTATTCTCTGTCTAATTTTTGTTGGGCTTTTCCAGTTTTACTGTTCAGTTTATGAGTCTTTTAAGGCCGGTACCGATGGAACTACTGGTGTTTTATTTTCAGCCCTGGGGAAAGCCTTTGCTTTCAGGAGTGTGGTCAAGCACAGGCATGTCTATTTAGTTTTTCCTTAATGTACTAGTTCAAAGTAGGAGAGCCTTCCTCTCAAAGGCTGCTTGTTTGTACCTTATATTTGAATCCCTTCAAGGCTGGTTTGCATTTGTACGATTGATCTGTTAAGCCTGTTCTCCTCCTTCCATCACGAACCAAACTTGTCTGCGCTGCTCTGTGTAGACAAACATAGCATGTGGTCAGAGGTTTTCCTGAATGTCCCAGGAAAGCCCACGAGTAGAGGCTTAGCTGTGTGTGTGGCTTGCGGTGTGATCCGTAAACCCGTACGTGCTTTGAGAAGACGCTCAAAGACAATCCAGGTACTGACAGCGCAGTGTGCTCATCGTGATCTTTAGTAGAGGGAAATTATTTTTCAGAAGGAAATCCAGACTGACCGGTATGACAGACGGCAGTTCAGTGACAGGAAGCTTTGTTCAGAGCAGGGCCTTTCTGGGAAGGGTTCTGGTGTATCTGCATGGTCTAACTTTACATCAGACTCATCACCTGGACTCGGTCTCACTTTGTCTCTCTCCAAGCTAAGCACAACCGGGTTTAGCATATGTAGCAAGCCCCGCTCCGTTTTAGTGCCACCCTTAACCACCCCATAGCCTCTTGGTATCAGACTCATTTTCTACTCTCCACAGTGAGACATACATCGAGGTCCAAAGTGAAGATCTTTCTGGCTTTTTAAAGGTGAACAGCTTTAAGATCAAAACCTCCAAAAAGTACAAGCAGTGATCTTTTAAGTTTAGAATAAGTAAGTACAGAAACCAAAATCTTTACAGCATTGCCCTAACTACCTCCACGAATGGCTGCAGAATTTCTCATGGTTGCTCCATTAGCTTTCTTTTTTCACTGTGAAATATCAGCAAAACACAGTTTCTGGAACACTTTCTCTGTTCTCTTCCTAGATGCAAAAAACCCAATTTAAACTAGGTAAGTAACTTCTATCTTGCATGGTTTCTCTTTGGGGGTCCTAAGGAATTAGTTGTCTGGAGGGAAAGAAACACCAGCAACAGGTATCTATCTGTAACAGTGCTGCATCTGAAACGAGGTACAGCAGATAAGAATTTTACTGCTTTGAAACTCCTTTTTCAAGGGGAATGTGTATTTTAGAAAACGTTCTTGAGCACTGTTACATGGAGATTCATATTAGTATTGTGAACAAGAGCTTTTGTTAAAAAAAAAACAACCAAAAACCAAGCCACCCTATTTTTGGATGTTTCTAAAATAAAACCAGTATAAGTGATTTATCTTTCTTGGTCTTTTTGATTTTAAAAAGTCCGTCACAGACCTGCCACCTTGTGCTGGCTCAGTCCCTGTGAGGGCGTTTGGTGGTGGTGATGTTCTTTGGGAGTCAGAACAGACAATCCCGTCTCCTCCTGCCTCGGGGAGAACACGGAGGGTGTATCCCTGCAGCCACGTGGCTTTTGACTGCAATGGTGTCTTAAAAGGTTGTAATGCTTTTTTATTGCCGTGTGAGAGCAAGAGAGAACATTGGGAGGTTGGCAAAGCTGGAGTGGTGTCACAGAACGTGACCAGACTGGGCACGTGATTTATGCATGACACTAGTCCTTGCTTTGCCCCGAGGAATGAGCAGTCTCCTGTTACCATCCGCCTTCACATAGTGACGACTAGGCCAGCAGCTAGTTCAAGACCAAGCTGGTCGAAGCATGAAAGTGTGCAGGATCTCCTGCTCTGCAGCCTTGCGTTCCCCTATCCTCCACCCCCTTCCCACCAACTGCAAAGGGTTTATTTTGGAAAGCGTGACGTGGAGCCCAAGAAAGTGTCACCCCTAAAAGAAAGGGGCAAAACGCCTCCTCTGCCAACAGCAACAGCGTCCTGAGCTGACGGCAGAAAACAACCCCTTTGTATAACCGTTATTCTGATGAGCTTAAAAATAAGTGGAAAAATTATTTTATTAATTAGAATTAATTTAATTAATTAGAAGAAATGTGCCTTTCCTCACCACGGGTGTGATTCTTGAACCTTCAGTGCCAAAGTATGCCAACTACTTCATTTACAATTATTTGGGGCTGCAGCACTAAGCAGTGGGGCCAGCGCCGCGTCCCCTCCCCACCATCGCAGCCCTGAGAAGATGCATTTTTAACAACACTGAAAGGACTCATCTGTGAGCCTTTGGTACAGACTGGATGCTCACTGAGAACACAGTAAACATGCTTCCTTTCTTCAAAAGTGAACATTTTAATTGCAATTTAATTCTGTAACGCTTAAGCTTGGCAGTACTTTGTATTTGGAAAACCTCATGGAAAAAAAACCAACCAAGTAGTAACTCTTGGGAGGGCTGCAGTCCCCAGACACAGAACTGTCTCACAGAAAAATCATTGTCTGACTCCAGCACTTGCATGTTAGAGAAAGCATGGTCTTTCCAAAGACATTTAGAATTTACGGTTTAGCAGTTCCTATTTTAAACAGCTGCACATAACTGGGTGTCACTTGTGTCCATTTAATTTGATTTGATGAACAGCAGGACACTGTTGTCATAGGAATACATGTTCAAAAATAACAATTCAGATTTAAACAGTTCTGTTGCACTGCTAAGGAACAGATATTCAATGTACCTACTGACTGTATCTTACTCTAACAGAGTAGCTCCAAGGCTTGGGAAGGTCTGGAAAAACAGTGGCATTCGATAAAAGCTACAGTTCTCTCCTCACAGAGAAAGCTTAGGGTATGGACTTGGTTTTGCCTGTTGGAAGTCTCACTCCGGGATTAGTGGAACACTTCACTGGAGCTGGCGGTAAAGCCGTCGCAGTGTCCCCTCTTTGGCTGCAGCTGCCCCTCGCAGTGACAGCCCTGACTGGGTACACTGCTCAGCTTCAGTGGCCTGCTCCCCACAGCTGGGAAGCTCCAGGCTCCCCCAGGGAGATGAGACATGCCCTCTTTTGTTCCCAGAAGACAGGAATTCCTTCCCAGAAGGAAGGAATGATGTTTCAGCAGCCCGGAGAGAACCTGCCTCCTGCTAATTATCAGCACCTGGTCAGTCAGCTCTTGTCTGGGAGCAGGACACCCGCATGCTCGCACAGCACAGCTGTACACAGGGTGCAAGACACAAGGAACGCTTTCCTTAGTCAGCAACGGGAGATTAACTGCCCCCAGCACTTTAAATCAGACACGTCAGGAAGACAAAGTGGAAGGATTTGCTTTTAATGGCCAGTGACAGAAACCGTCCCTGTTTGCTGGTGCAGGCCGTGTCCCACACAACGGCGATGTTTGTCCCCCGGGAGCCCCGCTGCGTGCTCCCTACCGCACATAGTTCTTGGGGAAGAGCTGGAAGAGCTTGCCCTCCTGCGTGGGCTCGAAGCCGTACTTCTCCAGGTTGTTGGGGTCGAAAGCGCCTGCCTTCACGTCCTTCTCGATGCGGGGAGCCACCACCTCGGTGAAGAGCTGCTTGGCCGTCATAGGCGGCTCGGAGCCCTCCGGGGCGCGGTACGACACGTAGGGCTTGAGCTTGAAACCCTGCAGGTCGGGGACGACGAACTCGGGCACCATCTCCCTGATGAGGAGGAACTTCCCGCTGGCCGTCAGCACCCCCAGCTTCTTGGCGCCTCGGCCCTTGTTGTAGCTGCGGGGGCCGCGCTTGCTGGTGAACGGGGACATGCGGTCGGCGCCCCGCACCAGCC